AGAGACAGAAAGGGAGAAATAACTCCTCAGGGAGGTTGGCTACACTGCAGTCCTTTCTCCTCCATTCTCCTCTCAGGATTTTAGGCATGCTTGCACACATGCTTAATGTGACTTTCAAACCTCTGGGTCCTGGTCTCGAACCACAGTTGACCATGTGGGAGTCCAGCAACTTAACCTCTATGCTCTTTGCTGGTCCCTATGAGATAGTTTGAAAAGGGAGTTCTAAAATATGTTTGTGTAACAACATCATTAGAAGTCTATTTTTCCAAATAGCTCTTTTGTAAAATGTACTGTTCATTAAGGTATGTAAGTTCTAGCAGGATATAAACTCTTGAGGCATTATCTTGTTAGCTACTAAAGAAGTTCTGTTTTTATGTGATTATTAAATAATTTTACCTTTTTTTCTTTACTCCTGTTCAGTACAAGTAATGTATATATTTAGAAAGAAATAATCCATTTCAATCTGAATAAAATGCTTGACTTATAGTCTAATTTAATTCTTTTTTCCTTTTTTAGTGTGGACGTAGTCAACTCATTCTTCAGAAAGTTCAGACATTACTAGAAAGAGCTTTTAGTTTAGCCCCTCAGCAATCAGAATTTGCTGCAGAACTTGGATACCAAATGATTTTACAAGGAAAAGTTAAAGAGGCAATGAAGTGGTATAAAATTGCCATGACACTTGATGAGACTAGTGTCTCTGCACTAATTGGTATGACAACTGTTTCTATTAATGTTCCTAATATAGATGCTAGTGATAATTGTGTTAAATACCTGTCATTCAAGAAGGAAAAAAATGTGTTTTGTCATTTTTCTAAAATTAAAGTGTTCATCACATCTGCAATAGAAAAAGATATATATCTTTAAAAATACATATGTATTCATTTCTAGAGAGCATGTGTGCTTAAGAGAGAGAGAGGGAGAGAGGGACAGGAAGAAAGCACCCTCAGTGGGGCATGATCTTGCCACAATCCCTTCTTCGTTTCACCCTTTTGGGACTTTGAGCATGTATGCACATGTGCCTGGCATGTTTTCCCAAGCTACCAGAACTGGGATTCAGACCATGGCCAGCCATATGGAAGCAAGTTCATCTTAATCACTAGGCTACAGGACTGGTCCTAAAAATAAAATTTTTACTTCATAAATACTTCATACCTTGTGAGAAAATATTTTTATAGGGTATTTCTTATAAATTAGGATTTCCTTAGTAAAGGATTTTATATTAATCCAAGGCTACCGTTTTAATTTTCTTTCACTCCTTTTTCTTTTCTCTCTCTCTCTGTTTGTTGTTGTTGTTGTTGTTAATCTAAAACTATAGTATTGTGATATGGGGGGGATGTGTTTTTTTTTATTGTTACTTTAACTTGAAGTACATGCCTGAATTGGTGTGTAATGTTGTTTACATTAACTTGAAGTACATGCCTGAATTGGTGTGTACTTTGACTGTTTTGTCCTGTTTGATTCTAGGATTTATCCGATGTCAATTAATAGAAGAACAATTACAGGATGTAGATCACCAGCTAGAATTTCTTAGTGAAATTCAGCAGTCCATTGGAAAATCTGCGGTACAGTATTATATCAGATAGTAGATCCTAGCTATTTATAAAAAATACGAAATTTTACATCAACCTCATTATTTGGTCTAATGTCTCTAAAGGGATAATGTACACTAATTTTAATATGTAATGCACTTATATTACTCCATGTAAAATGAGACTTATGCCCCTGAATGATTCTAAAAGCCCACCTAAGCTAAGTGTAAGGTTGAACAAATAATTGCACATAAATAGCACTTCATATTCTTTGGAAATCTACATATAAATAAGTGGCTTTATAACTGAATAGAGTAATTTAAGAAGACTATGTGTTTTGTAGGAATTAATCTATTTGCATGCAGTTTTTGCTATGAAGAAAAATAAGCCAGAAGATGAAGTTCTTCACTTGTTGAATGATGTCTTAGATACTCATTTTTCACACTTGGAAGACTTACCTTTTGGTATACAGTATTTTGAGAATCTAAATCCTGATTTCTTACTAGAAATTATCACAGAATATCTGAATTTCTGTCCAATGCAGGTAATTCTGACACTTATTTTCAATGTTATATTTATATGCTGTTTTATGAAAGGTGTTAAAAAGTTATTTTTAATGTGTTAGACTATCTTGACATCTTAAAGTGATAATATTTGTCTCCATATTAGTTCATAGTTTTTAATCAGAATGTTTATGGCAACAACTGTTATCAGCTAATGAAAGTATTGCTTTGTAAATACTCATTTGTAATTCATAAAAATCTTGAAATCTTCAATTTAGTGTGTTATTTAATTCAGACACACTTTATATTTGAACCCACTCTATAAAACATCATCATCAAAACTCCTGGGACCAGCAGTTGGAGTAATGGCTATGTCGCTGAACTACCACGTAGTTGGCTGCGGTTTGAGTCCCGGACCAGAGGCTTAAACTCACACTGGGCATGTGTGCATGTGTACCCAAGATCCTGAGAGGAGAATGGAGGAGAAGCAATTGCAGTGTGGCTATCCCCCCAGGGGTTGATTTCTTGCTTTCTGTCCACCTCTCTCTCTCTGTCTTTCTGGAGAGTACACGTGCCCTATAGCAAAGGCTTCAAAAAAAAAAAAATCCATGTAAGCCTCTGGACACTCAAAAATGCAGTTTATTTTGTGATTGTTAGACTGTCTTTCCTGCGTTAAGTCAAGCTCTATGTTAAAAAAAGGACCATTTACTGGTCCTTCTGACTAACTGACAGAGAGTTGGTCCAGCTACTTAGTTAAACAAATGAACATTCCTCATTCATAAAATAGACCATCAGATTTTGGAAATTCATTTTTATGTTCCCCTACACAGTTCTAGGTTTTCAATCATTTCCTTTTTTATATAACATAATTTTAGAAACCTGATAGTGAAACTGAAACTATCCTTTATTTCATCTGTGACTCTCATTTAGCTCACTATTTCAAATATGAGTTTGACTCACTAGGGTTAGGGTTAGGTTTAGTTTCACTAGCCCCTCACTGAATCATACCTTGGATTGAGCTTTGTCTCTCCAGTCATGTCCACTTACAGTTGCTTGGAAGTTGGAATCTGTTTTTCAGTATTCACTCAGTATTCAGAGTTTATTCTATCGATGCTTATAGAGTATCCAGCACTCTGCCGGGAGCTGGGGAAATCCTCCTGTAAAGCAAACTCAAGGACCAGCTATAGTGGTGCAGATAGTAAGATGAAATTGTAGTGCTGTTCTTTGAATATATTTTCTTTGATAAAGTTTTTGAGCAGATATACTCCTTCCATGTTATCAAATCAATGATTATATAATAGTTCATAATTATTTTGCAGAACAAAAGCTATTTGCCTATGTTTATAGATCCTAGAAAGATAAATTTGTATTAGTCCAGTCACAGTAAAGGTATTATGAAATAAATAGAATAACAGAAACTTTAGAAAAATACATAATTATGTCAGTCATGCTAAAATTAGTATATGTTTTTTTTTAGCTAAATATTGTAGAGTTATAAACTGATCTGCTAACTTGTTTTGTTTAGCCAGCAAGTCCTGGACAGCCTCTTTCATCACTTCTCAGGCGGTGTACCTCAACCTTGGAGACAATAGTAAGAACTGTGCCAGGTCTTTCACAGGCTATCTTCCTAATAGCGAAAGTGAAATATTTGTCAGGTAGAGTACACCTTAAACACTTAAAATAACATTTTTAGTTCAATGTTGATAATAACTGGTGTAAATAAATGCTCCATATGTATGGACAATAGTGACATAAAATGTACATTTTGTGTGTGCATAGATAAGTAATTTTATTTGAAAATAAAATTTTGGAAGTAATTTTATTTAGAAATAAAATGTTGAATTAAACTTAGTATTTAATTCTCTAAAATTTACTATGAATTATTGCAGTTCAAGTGGAGTACTGAGAAAATGAAGTTGTACCAGTTTACAAAAAAGCTTATCATGGTGGTGGGGATATGGCAATAAGAATTTAGACTTTGGGACCAGCAGATGGTGTGGTGGTTAAGGATGCTGGACTCTCATATGGCTGACTGTAATTAGAGTCCCGGACCTGGGGACTTGCTTTCTCACTTTCCCTCTCTCTCTGGTCAAATTTAAAAATAAATAAATAAATAAATACGTGAAGTTAAGTAAAATAATTCTTTAAAAAAAATTTAGTCTTTAATTCATAGTTGTTGACTTACTGAACTTACTGATATAACCAAATACAATGTGTGCAGGTTTCAGGCCCTTATGAAATGTATTGGTTAATTCCAGTTTAGTTTCTGTAAGTGGATGCATACAGATACATGCAGGTAATAATAATAATTATAAAGTAATAAAAAGAAGAGAAAGAAGGAGAAATAACCAGTTGTAAACTCAGCTTTTTAGAATACAAATGTATGATTTTATGCATAAAAGTAGATCATCATATTGTGCTTGTGCATGTATACTTTGCCACCAACTTAAGGGATTTCTAAGAAGTTACTTCTTATAAATAACAGAAAGAGGTAAGAAGTCTTTTTTTTTTTTTTAGGTTTTTTTATTTTTTTCTTCCAAGAGAGAACTAGAGAGATAGAGAGATAAACACCTCCAGCAGGGCCTTTCTGTGATCCACCCTGAGTCCGAGTGGCCTCGCTTACAGGCATCTGTGCACTGCCTGATCAAAGTTCTGGAGTGTGAACCAGAGCTTTTCTTTACTGTGTGGGTCCAGTTTCATTATCTCTGTATTATTGCCTAGTCATGTACTGTTTTTTGTTTTTGTTTTTGTTTTTTTGACTTCACACATAAAGTTTCCATTGTCCTCTCCCTATCAGGACACATCATCCTCCGGACAAAATGTGTGACAATGTAGAGTTTTACTGACCTTGGGAAAGCTCACCGGAGGCTTGGTATCCAGATTTTTAATCAGGATTTTATTAAGTAGGCATGGATTAAACCACAGGCTGCATAACTGAACTCAGTCTTCAGGCCCCCTGCCTGATATATCACGTGGCTCAAAGCCCCAACCCTCTGATCCTATGACGTTCTTTCTCAACATGGCCTGCCCTCATTTTGGGTTATATTCTTGGCGCAAACTATTTAGCTACCTACCATAGACCTCGTGGTTAGCATAAGCTATCAGGGCCAGTCACAAATAACAAAGACACTTCTGATGCCAGGGCAAATCTAAGATGTAGAGGCTCCCCCACAAGAACTTGAGACCAGCCAAATACTTCGTTACACAAAACGCTGGCAAAGACAGAAATGCAGGACAGAAATGTCTTCCATTTTACCTCAGGGAAGTTGGACTACTCTTAGATAATAAAGTGATGTCAATTTTGATCTTTGTTGACAGGATCTATTTCCCCACCAGTGATGACCCATTTCTCATTTTAAAATATTTAGTGGCCTTTTGATACTAACTCCACATATCCTTCCCCTTTAAAACAAACAAAAAATTTGATCTCAGTCATTTGTACAGTCCTTATGTTACTCAAGCTCTAATTTGTAAATCCTAATTCTTTTTTCATGTACTTTCTTCCCTTAGTAATAACTTCTTTCTTCATGTTATCTTCTCAATCCTCCTTCTTCCTAAAATTATTTTCACTCAAATTTATTAAGCTTAACCTTTCCATGTCTTTCTTTCTTTTTCTTTTTTTTCTTTTTCTTTCTTTCTTTCTTTTTTTTTTTTTTTTTTTTTGCCTCTGCAGTTCCAAGTGTTGGACTGTAACACAATAAAAAAAAAGAATTCAAATTATTAATTATGTCTATAGTTGATTCCCAAACTTTGATGCTATGTTTAGTAAGTTATTGTGCTGTTGGGTTGTTGGAAAAGTCATGGTGTATTTTTCTGTTTTTCTATATAGAAATGTGTTGTCATTTCAGATGACCCAATAATTCAGCCTATTATTTTTTCATTAATTCTTTGTCTCTGAGAAAAACATTTCCAATTGACTAAGCCAGTATGTTGAACCTTTGGATATTAGGAAGCACTGACTGCGAGCTTTATTTTGTTTCTTGATGATCAGGGAAGGTTGAAGAGTATAATCAAACAGAAATAATTTAGGATGTCACCTTCTCTTATTCTCCTAGCAAGGTTGAGTGAGGAGTTAGCCTAGGTATACCTACTTAAGGCCAATTTTGTGAGTTGGCTAAATATAGATCAGTATGGGTTATATCATGAGAAATTTCCTTCTGGGACCTAAAGTCTATGCCGATTTTTCACTGAAGGCCTTCGTCCTGCATCTTTTAACAGTCCAAGGTCAATTCCACCAATTCCTGTCACATTAATCTTTTTATTTTTAAAATTTCATTCCATTTTAAGACTCAGATATAGACCAGATGTTTTCCAAGATACTTGATATTTTACTTGGTAGATTTAAGAGTATTTTTAGCCTATACTTATTTTTGAATCTCTGGACTATATCATTATGGCTTTCTGTTATTTTATACATTGTAATATAAAATTAAAAAGTTCTAACCAAGAATGATTGCTAGACTAAATATTCTGGTTGCTAATATTAATGACACTATAGAATTCTAGCTATTTAAATGGCTATGCTTTTTGAAATGTTTTAAAATGAATTTAAATAAAACATTTTTTGACAAGAAAAATAAATAAAGATACATTTATAGGCTTCTCAGTAACACTGGTGATTGATTCTCATCCTTTCATGCTGTCTCAGTTTGCTCATTGTAATCGAAGGTTGGCCCAAGTTACAGGAATATTCTTTCACATGGACAAGAAGAAATCTAGCTAGTTGGGTCTAAATTAAGCCATAGGCTTATGAATAAGGGCTCTAAGTTTAGACACTGAGCTTCCCATAAACTAAACACTCTTGTCCTCTTCTCTCTCAGATCTCCATCTCTTAATCATTGGAATTCTGACAGTGCTTTGTTTCCCTCATTAGGTGATATTGAAGCAGCTTATAATAACCTGCAGCATTGCCTTGAACACAATCCTTCTTATGCAGATGCTAATCTCCTGATGGCTCAAGTGTATTTATCTCAAGGAAAATTCAAATTGTGTTCTCAGTCTCTTGAACTTTGTCTGAGCTATAATTTCAAGGTAAGTGTTCTTGAAACCTTTAGCAAACAATTACATATTCAATCAGTTTATATTTTAGTCTATCCTATTTTGCTAATAAATGCATTTTTACTGGAAAAAATGTTGGACTCACAGACAGTAGTAGGAAAAAAAATGGAATCACATCTGGTATAGTTAAAAAACTATATGAACTTGGCAGCAAAAGACCTTGACTTCTGACCTTTCCATTTATCTCTTTCTCCGAGCCTTGGTCTTGTTTTCTAGAAAACTCATATAATATTAATAGTAATACTCTACTAGGGCCAGCTTAGGGCCTGGTGGTTTAGATGGCTGGATCCCACATGGTTTGCATCTCAGAAAAACATACTGGTTTTGAAAAAACACACTGGGTGTCTGTGTGTGCATGTCCATAAACTCTAAAAGGAGAAAGAGATGGATGGGAAGGGATTGTGGCATGACCATATCCCATTGGGGTGCTTTTTTACTTTTCCTCTCTCTGTCTCTCACTGATGAGTACCCAGACCCTATATCAAAATTGAAAACAAATAATAATAATCTACAGCTATAATGAGAGTTAAATGCAGTAGTGAGTGTATATAAATATAACTATAAACATTAGAGCATTCTGCCAAATATTTTTTTAATATAAGGATAATGAATTTCATTGCCTGTTTCTTTCTTGGACCTTGGTTTGTTTGTTTGTTTGTTTTTGAGAGACTTTTACTATAGGACAGGTGTGCTTGCCAGAGAGACAGAGAAAGACAGAAAGTAAGAAATCTCCCCACTACACAGATGGCCATGCTGCAGTCCATCCTCCTTTTGGGATTTTGGGCACACATGCACACGTGCCCAACATGAGTTTCAAGTTGCTAGGTCTGGGATTTGAACCTCAGTTGGCCATGTAGGAGTGTAGTACCTTAACCACTACATTACCTGCTGGCCCTGGAACTTGATTTTTAATAATAACTTCTTTTTAGATTCAAGTTATTAAACAACATGTAGTCATTTTCAAAGTTATTTTGTAGTTTGAGATATAAACACGTAACATTTCTGTCCAAGATATTTTGTATCTTACCTATATTTTCCCCTCAGCATTAGTGAATATCCTCGTCTCAGGTGCTTCCTGACACTACCTAGAATCAGGGAAGATCGTCCCAGACTTTTACATTGGTTCAAGAGTTTTTAGCCCTTAAGACCTAAGTGTTTAGGGGAAAACACTTAAGCAGACTAGAAGATTCATATTCTCATGGAAAACATCACCTGCTTCATGGTCAGTAGTTCTCAGGGCTGGTGGTCCATTGTAACCCTGATGCTGGGTCCTCCCTCAGTTAATCAGAAGCTCTGGCAGAAAGCATAAGCATGAGCATTCACACAAAGCTCAACAGGTCAGTGTGACACCTAAGATTGAGGACCTCAGCGGTAGGAAGACTTCCCTATCATTAGATGTCTGCTGTATCACATTATAGATCACCACCTGCCCTTGGACCTCCTCTTTCTCCCTTGTTTTATCTTCTCTTCTGTTTTTTTCCATATGCTATTGCTAGTCAATTAAAGAAGGAAGAAATTCTCATTACTGAATGTTTAGGAGTAATATCAACAGGCAAAGCTGACATTTGATTAAAATGTACTGAAAGTTTTCATCTTAAAGTTAAAAAGCTACACCCCAGTGCAGTGGCACAGTCAGTAGGGGTGCCACTGCAGGATGCTAGGTGCCGTATGAGAAGGCTCTGGGCTTTGCATCCTGCACCTCTGGGCTTTGCATCCTGCACCTACCTGAGTACACGGGCATGAAGACCTTGTGGAGAGTACTTCCTCTCAATAAATTAACTTTTAAAATGAAAAAGGTTTTAAAAAGGAAAAACTGTTTCTAGAAATCTAATCTTTTTATGTCAGTACAGATGTGCCAGATAAATTTCTTCTTGAACTTTCAAGTAATTTCTTAGAATATATTATTTGCTGGCCTTATGCAAATAATAGGATGCTAGCTAATAGCAATTTCTCTGAATTTTATTTAATATGATTGAACTGTCAGAAAATTAGTAAGAGGATAGAAATAGAACTAATAGAATTAATTCACTCAATCAGAGATGGACTGCCTTCACGATCCTTTTATTGTACTGTTTGTTGGATTGTAAGTTATGTGTTGGTTGTAGGTGCACCTGCGAGTATTTCTAATACTATTTTTTCAGGTGAGAGAATCTCCTTTGTATCATTTGATAAAAGCTCAGTCACAAAAGAAAATGGGAGAAATAGCAGAAGCAATTAAAACTCTTCATATGGCAATGAGTTTACCAGGAATGAAGAGAATTGGAACTTCTTCAAAATCGAAATACAGGAAAACTGAAGTCGATACAAATCATCGTTTATCTATCTTTCTTGAGTTGGTAGAGGTTCACCGCTTAAATGGGGAACAGGTAGGTAAAGTTTCAATTGAATGGTTGAGACCCAGAATCTTGTTATTTAAGAATAAATATTGATAGAAAAAAAAAAACTAAAATTATTTTGGTGACTAAGTGGTAATGTTTAGAAAATGTGTTCTTCACTACTTTGCACTATAACATACACATTCTGCAGGCCCCTGAAAGTTTATCATAGTTTGCTCCTGGATAACTTTAACTATCAGAGTACTTATGTTGGCTACCATGTAATGTAATAATATGCTACAGTTATAATTTTATGAATTCCTGAAAGAATGAACACACACTCAAACACAGACACATTCATGTATTCACGAGTATTACTGGAATAGAATGAAAGTACCGACCTCAAGTTCTAATAACTGAGAAACTAAAGAAATGCTTAATGAATACAGCTTTGGTAACTTCATAAGAATGGCATAAAGAGAGATAACTTAAAAAATAATGGTACATACATAAATGTAGATGGAAGGAATGAAGGAAGGAATGAAAGAAGGAATTATGAAATAATTAAGACCTTGTAAAAGATGAGCAACTTAAAGTCGTATTAGCTTTTTTAGGTTGCATCAGTTACAACTTAGTGGTTCTCATATTTTAATGTAAATTAAGAAGGCTGTGTTTCTAAATACTTGCCAAATCACAAAGAATTTCTACTTTATTAATAAATTAATTAACTTAAAATGCATTTAATCACTAGGGCCAATTCTACCATGTATAGCTGATTCCATGGTGTCCTAACATTTCTGAAATCAGAATGTCTTATAGTCTCTAAAGTTGCAATGACTAAATAAAGGACATATTTTTAGATTCATGGAGGTACACTTTTGGAAGTGAGGTAAAATGTTCACCTGACATCTAACAAAATGCTCTGGTAGAGGGGATAAAGTAACCTCCGTAATGAAGAGCCAGCATGTGCAGTGGTGACTGTGGGCTGGATCCAGCAGTAGCAATGGACATAGCCAAGACTGTAGGCGTCAGAGTCAGGCTGGCTGCGTTTGAATTCTGCTTTCATAATTTGTTAACCTTTTTAACTCTCTTAATTTCAATGTCCTTGCTGAAGAGTAGAGACAATAATAATAACTATTTTAGAGGGGGTTGGGAGAATTAAATGTACTACTACTACTACTATACTGAGTGCACAGTAAGTAGTCATTAAAATATAGTGGCAGCATGGCCAGCAGCTGTTGTGGTGGCTAAGGTACAGGACTCCCCACATGGCCAACCATGATTTGAGTCCTGGACCTGGTAGCTCCCTTTCTCAGTTTCCTTTCTCTCTTTTTCGCTCTCTCTCACATGTGCCCTGTAGCAAATTTAAAAATAATAATAAAAAATAAAATTAAATGATTCTTGTAAATATATACGTGTGTGTGTATATAATATATATGTGTGTGTGTGTTTATATATGTATGTAATGTATACTGGCAACAAGGGCCAGCCCCACAGCCTACTGGTTAAGGGAGCAGGCCCCACCTGGCCAACCCCAGTTCAAATCTCTGCCCCAGAGACTAAAGCATGCTGAGAGCATATGCATGCATGCCCCAAATCCTGACAAGATAGAGAAATAGAAGAGAAGGGATTATGGCTTGACCATGCCTCATTGGGGAATTCTTTCTCCCGCTCCTTATCGCCCTCTGTCTCTCTGTCTGTCTCTGGCTGAGCACACACACACACACACACACACACACACACACACACACACACACCCTCTGGCTGTATATGGGAAGCAACTCTGTAGCAACTGCTGTTGTTCTAGCTGCGAAAACTAGCTAAATTATACTTGTAGTCTCATCTGGTTTTGGTCTTTGAGTTTAGGTTTAAATATTTGTACTTTTCAGAAAATCTATCCATTTATTTTATAAATAAAATATCCCTAATAGCATTTGTTATTTATTTGTATTATTAGAAAACCCCTTCTTTTTCTGAGGTAACTTGTTGAATATTGAAAGAATAATGTTAATTTCATTTTGATAGCATGAGGCAGCAAAAGTTTTACAAGATGCTATCCATGAGTTCTCTGGAACATCTGAAGAACTGCGAGTTACCATTGCCAATGCAGACCTCGCTCTGGCCCAGGGAGATACTGAGCGGGCCTTAAACATGCTTCGAAATGTTACAGTCGAACAGCCTTATTATATAGAAGCCAAAGAAAAAATGGCAGATATTTATTTGAAGCACAGAAAAGAGAAAATGTTGTATATCACTTGTTACAGGTAAATAATTATTTGACACATTTACCTCCTAAAATTACCTCTCATAGTTATTTTTTGTCTTCCTTTCAACTGCTTTACAGATATTTAATAGATCCTTTTCTTACTGAGGTCTTGTTTCTTTTCTACCACAAACTGTAATCAATCTAACCAGATTATTTACTCTTTCTTTAAAAAAGAAAAAATTGTTGTTCAACTTTATTTATTATTATTATTACTTGACCGGAGAGAGACAGAGGTGGGGGGCAGTGAGAAAGCAAGCCTCCAGGTCTGGGACTCAAACTGTGGTCAACCATGTGGGAGTCCAGCACCTTTATCACTATGCCACCTGCCTGCCCAAAATTATTTACTCTTTCTAAATAATAATTATAATTACTTCAAACTGTGACTTACTCTAGTTTCTTAGCTGTGCTCATCAGATTGTATTATCTGACCCTGAATCTTCCTGTTTGGGAAGAGAAAGAGTAACAGTTACATGTATTTTAACACTTTTAGATCATTATATAATGTTACAGTAACTTGATAGACAACGTTATTTAATCCTTAGTATGGTGGCTATAGTGAAATCAAGTTATGACTTAGTATTCACCACACTAAGGTATAAGTTACCCATCTTCTTTGGTGAAAGGGCAGGATCTTTTAAAGTTACATCACACTGATGCCCTTAGGCAACAGACACACGTTCACACATACACGCATACGCATAGAGATTGTTCTTCTTTCCTCCCGAAATAAAAAGGTAAACATACAAGCAAATACTCCACACATTTCCACTCTTGAGGGTGTGGCAAAATATTGATGAATTAATTCATTATTGGTTTATCTGATTGGATATAGGAACCCTCAAAAAGCTGCTCAAGTTCTTTGTCCATGCTTCGTGATTCTGAGAAACTAAGCAGCACCCTGGTTTAGATGAATGAACTGAAGGTTCTAGATCGTATTTTTCTGAGACATTCTCAGAAGATTAGCACTTTTATCTCTAGTGATTTATAAACATTTAATAATTGTGTTGCTTTATTTTGGGTGGATGACAATACAGTATTTAGAAGTATAGGCTTTTGTTTCAGATAGATAGGACATATTAGCTGTAAACTTAAACTTTTATTATAACTTCATCTGTAGAATTAAGATATTTTCTCAGAATTTTTTGACAAATTGATGAGATATCATATGTTAAAGACATTTTTGCTTCAATAATTTTAGTACCATGACCTTTAGCAGGCTAAATTTTATAGGTTAAAAACTAATCAACAAATATTAGAGTAGAAATTTTACTATTTTTTAAAGGTACTAATTTCTGCATATAATTTATGCTGTGAGTATCACAGCTGAAGATGCATAGTAGGACAATAAGGTCTTAGTCCTCTTCTCATTTCTTTTTGGTACTTTCACTCCATTTCAAAACAAAAGGTAGAAAAACATGTATTTAGAGGTGAGAGTTTATATGTTTACCATCTCCCTATACTTTTGGATGCATTTCACAAAATACAAAGATTCATGGAAAAAAATTAATTTAGCATAAATAATTGGCATGATGTAGGTGAGGTTTACAAAAACAATATTAAACTGTTGGATATATAGAAGGCACTCTACAGTTTTCCTATCTTCTATGTTATTAGTTTAGAAGAAAATGGTTGTTCTTAATATGCTAATTAAAGTTGTTCTGATTTCCAGAGAAATTGCCGAAAGAATACCCAACCCACGATCTTTTCTTCTCCTTGGTGATGCATACATGAATATTCAAGAGGTGAAGTTTTTGATGCTACTGAACTTAGATTTTTTTCAAAACTCTTTATGACTAGCATAACTTTCCATTAAAAGGAGCTAAGTTTTTTTGATAATGCTTACTTGGTAATTGAAGATCCAGTCCTCATAAGCGAAGAGACATTGCCATTATGATAAAAACAATACAATATTTTTTCTCAAATTGAGATTCAGTACTATCATTTGAAATAGAGAGGATACCAGAAGCATGTTAGAAGTCCCCTTTAAATTGAAATATGAAGAGAGGTGTTTCTTCAGAGGAAGCAATGTCTGATTCTCTGTAATGCTGTTAAAATGACTGCCATAAATGAACATTTAATATGCTGTCTCTGAGTTCTCATATGGTAATTTACATAGACAAAAACACAACTGAAAAGGGTTAGATTTTTTTCAAATAATTATTTATTTAATTTTATTTATCATTATTACTGTTTTGTAATTTGCTATGGGACATGCATGATCACCAGCGAGAGAGAAAAAGAAAAAGTGAAAAAGCAAGCCACCAGGTCCAGGACTTGAACTACAGCCAGCTATGTGGGAATCTAGTGCCTAACTCATCATGCCATCCGTTTGACCTCATGTGTTGGATTTTACCAAGTTATACCTCCCCTACTCATAATCACCTTTCAGAAATTAAGTTCTTAGATAAGTTCTTGGACTTCAGTATGTGCTTCATTAGTCTTATGAAGATTGCAAATGTATAGCTTAGATAAAAAAAGTTGCCATTTAATAAGATCCAGTTAAGCTGGTTTTTTTTATTGCTTATTTTTTGTGTTTGACAATATTAGCCTGAAGAAGCCATAGTAGCGTATGAGCAAGCATTAAATCAGAACCCAAAAGATGGAACATTGGCAAGCAAAATTGGAAAAGCACTTGTCAAAACTCACAATTATTCAAAGGTAAATACTTTATAATTTGAAATATTTCTGTTGGATCAAATTTATAAAATCCTATTCTAGGGAAGTCTTCAACAAGCACCATTTGCATCTTTGATGATTGTAAATTCCAGATTTGTGTTCATAAACTGGGATTTGTGTTAAAGTTTTTCTCGATTTTAAATTCTCCATTGCTTTATTTTGAGACTATTGTTTAGACCTTAGAGTTTACTTCAGGTTTTATCTTATTAAATCCTTGCTGCTAAGTTAGTTTCATAAAGTTGCTATTCTTTTTTGTCTTTTTTAACTATATTTTTTAAGAATTATTTTATTTTAACTTTATTTATTTATTTATTTAAATTTGACCAGCGAGGGAAAGTGAGAAAGCAAGCCACCAGGTCCAGGAGTTGGACCATGGTCAACCATATGGGAGTCCAGTGCCCTTAACCACCACATCACCTGCTGGACCCTTTTTAATTATTTTTTGAAGTTTACTTATTTATTTCTTCCATGATTGGGAGAAAAGGAGACAGAGAGTACCCCAACAGAGTCTTGATATCATGATCCATCCTCTGCCCCAGTCATCCGAGAGTCATGAGCATCCTTTTGCCTGGCACACTCAGGGAGGTCTCCAGATGCAAACTCAGAACCTTCCCAGTAGATCAGCTTCACAGAGCATCATATTTTACCACTGTGCCACCATGTAGCCCCAAGTTGCTATTTTTAGATTGCTTTCATAATATGACAAAGCATGAGAAATGTTCTTTCTGTTGAACCAGTTTTGGCAAGCTATGTAATTTGAGGTTTTTCTTTTCTTTTTTTTTTTTTTGCCAGTAGGAATAATGGCTTAGTCCTATTCCTGGTAATTAATGAACATACATATATACATATATAACCGAAAAGTTTAAACATTCAAATAATGTTTGCTGGCCTCTAGAAAAAAATATAAAAAACTCTTTTGCAAAGCTCCGGTCTTGGGCCTAGCAGGTGGCCTAAAAGCCAAGGCACTGGACTCCCACATGGCCCACTATGGTTTGATTCTCAGACCCATCCACTTGAAAATCATGCCAGGTACATGTGCATGTGTGCCCAAAATCCCGAGAGGAGGATGGAGAAGGGACTGTGCCATGGCTATCTCCCCTGGAAGGTGATTTCTCACTTCCCACCTCTCTGTCTCTCTCTGGCAAGTGAGAGAGTTTTGTCCTATGGCAAAAAAATAAAAAACAAAAGACTGTTCTTTAGTCACTTTTCATGAGAAATATGCATTGCCTTGTGTGATATTTGATTCTCTAAGAACAAAAAGCTTACTTAGCTGACAGTGCAGGTACATGCCTAAGATTCTTCCTAAATGATTTTTAATTATGTATATGCTTTAGCATATAAAATATCAGTGCTTGAATGCCATGCCTGCTTTTCCTAACTGAAATGGGTTTTGTTTAGGCAATCAATTATTATGAAGCTGCTCTGAAAGGTGGACAACAGAATTATCTTTGCTATGATCTGGCTGAGCTCTTGATAAAACTGAAATGGTATGACAAAGCAGAAAAAGTCCTTCAGCACGCTTTAGCCCATGAACCTGGTATGCACATTTTTCTGCTTTGAGAAAAGTATACCTGATTAATCTATTTCATTTTTATATTTCATAAATATGTTTGTGTTATCAGTGTTTTCTATGTACAGTTGATTACATAAATACATATGTATTTTTTTCTTTTATCAGAAGGCCACTCTATTAAAATGAGGTATTTCAGGATCTAATAATAGATTTGTAAAACAGTCCATTGTGTTATAGAAAGATAACTAATTTTCCAAAGTGATAATAGAGTAAGTTAGCTTTAAAATGCAATTGCCTCTGGCACTTAATCATGTTAATATTTTGGTAATCTTTTTAGAAAAGTAACACATGTTTTTTTTTTTTTTAAATTCAATCGCTGTATTCATGTTGGATAATTCATTTTATAAGTTGTAATGATGTACAGTGTTTGAATATATAAAATAAATTTAAATAATAAAAGAAAAAATAAGTAAAATGTAAAACATTTTAAAAACAATTCAAGCACTGTAAAAGAAGGTAATGCATAAGTCACCTGTTTCGCTCATGAATTCTGCTTGCCTTTTCTCAGATTAACTCCCTGGAGGTAGTTTGTGATTATCTTTCCATTACCAGAGGGCACATGCATTCTTGTGTGTGTGTGAGGGAGAGAAGGGACAGAGAGACAGAACCTGCCAACGTGGCATGGTCATGCTGCAACCCCCTCTTCTCTATTTCTTTATCCAGTGGGGCACATGTGCCCATGTACCCAGAGTGCTTCTCAAACCTCTGGGGCTGGGACTGAAAGCACAGTCAGCCATGTGGTAGTACCTGGCTCCCAGTGCTCAGTACTCAACCATCCTGCTGCAGGGCCAGCCTGGTTTGTGGCTTAGTGTGTACTGTATCGGTGTATGTCTGTGCATGTGTTTAAATGCAGTAGGTGTAATTTTCCTTTTCAAGAATGTTTTGTCCGTCCTCTTCTTCAGTGTTTTCCACATATAACAAGTCTCAGATATAATTTGATGTCAACATATTAATGCCACTTTACTGAATGTTATCTTAATGGTCCAGAAATCCATAAACTATTTAATTTTCCTTTAATTATTAGACATTTAGTTTGCTTTCCATTGTTTTTTATTATAAGCCATATTACAATGACTATTGTGTGTCTCACTCCTTGGTACACACTGGCTTGTGTTTCTTAAAAGAAGAGTTCTGAGTTAGAGGGTATGTACATTTAAAATCTGGATAGTATCAAATTGCCTTCTTACACATTTGAACAAATTTACTTTTTCCCCCCTTTTTTTGTTAATGTTTTATTTATTTTAGTTTTTGCTATAGGGCATGTGCATTTGCTAGAGAGAGCCAGAGAGGGAAAGTAAGAAAGCATTACCCAGAGGAGAGATGGCCATGCCATAACCCCTTCTCCTTCATTCTACTCAGGATTGTAGGCACGCATCACACACACCTGGTATGTTTTTCAAGCTGCTGGGTCCAGGTTCAGGTTCAGGACCCAAACCAGGCAGTGGGTCCAAGTGGGATGCTACTGCCTTCACCAGCATGCCACCTGCCGGCCTGAACAAATTTACCTTTTTTTTTTTTTTTTTAGATTTTTGCCACAAGGTGTGAGTGCTTGCCAGACAGAGACAGAGAGAGGAAAAGTGAGAAATTGCCCCGCAGAGGAAATGGCTATGCCACAATCCCTTCTCCTCCATTTTCTTTCTAGGGTTTTGGGCATGCAGGCACACACATCTAGCGTGATTTTCAAGCCGCCAGGTCTGGGACTCAACTGCGGTTGTCCATGTGGGACAGCAGGAGAATAGAGAAGAAATTGAGGCATGGCCATGCCCCCTAGAGGGTGATTTTTTTACTTTTCCTTTCGATCTCTTTCTGTCTCTCTCCAGTGAGCACACATGCCCCATGGCAAATGCTTAAAATGAAACAAAACAAAAATGAATTAAATCATACCCCATTGTTTTCTCTTGAGAATAAAAATTTTCCAACATCTAGTACTAGTGTTGAAAAACTTTAATTTTCATATTTCAATGCCTGACAAGGTTAAACATTATTTTAGCTAATAATTTCTTCTAGGAATTATTTATTTATATTCTTTGTCTTTGAGTCTTTACCTGTTTTTCAACTTGTGAATGTTTTCTCCCAAACTTGCATTTGTTCATAGTATGTTTGGTTAAATAAAGTATTCAGTTATTGGGGCCAGCATGGTAGTTAAGGGTCGGATGTACACGTGGCTGACCGCGGTTTGAGTTCCAGACCGAGTGGCTTGCTTTCCCACTTTTTCTTTGTCTCTGTCTTTGTCTCACTCTGTCCCTTTCTGGTCAAATTAAAATTAATAAGTATAATTAAATAAAATAATTATTTAAAAAAGAAAAGAATTCAGTTATCATAGGTCATATCTGCCTGTCTCTTCATTTTTTGGAACCTGAAATTCTTGCTATTCTCTGAAAAAGTTTCCCTAATCTTAATATTATAAAAATATTTCCATGGGTTTTTTGTTAGCATATTTGTTGATTTGTCTCTGAAAAAGCTTCCCTAATCTTAAGATTATAAAAATATTTACATGTTGGCATACTTGTTGATTTAGATTTTATATTGTGAATTTACATCCACAAATTTTAACCCATATATATTTTTTAACATTTAGTTTCCAATATGAATAGCCAGTATTATTTTAGTACTGTTTATTTAAATGCCGCCTTAAGCTCATAATATCTCATTTTACTTATGATTCTGATTATGAGAATCTTCATTTTGTTTCATTGAGTTATTTTGATGTACTGTTGTCATACTATGTTCCATATAACTTTAAAATATGTTTGGATATTTGATAGTACAAGCCCACTAAAGTTCTTAAATATTTTCAAGATGATTCTTTTAGTTTAGTTTTGAAGAAGTTGGTTCTTAAATTCCCTTAATTATGAATGCATTCATTGTATAAAGTGTTTTACTTCCATAACAATATATGCATGTGTCTATTAGGTCTTTTTCTGAAACATTAGAAGGCCTAAATGTAGATATGCATTTTGTAAAGGTTGTCAGCATCATATGTTTTAATTACATTGTATATATTACCTGTATAAATGCTTTCATTTAATCAATATTTGCTGAGAACACCCCATGGTGTACTTAGATGCCTTCATACATATTTCATATATTGTTTCACTAGTACATCAATCTTTGAGACAAATATAATTATCTCCATTTTAAAATTAGCAATCTGAAACTGAGTTTCTCAATAGGTCCACTTTCTTTTCACCTGATAAATAGCAGCTCCTCTCATAAAGATCTTATTCTGAAATCTAAAACCGAATTCCCTATCTGCCTCCCCAGATCCATTCCACATGCAGCCTCCTTTATCTCACTAGTAACAGCTTTATCCTTCTTTGTAGTAGATAATAGCTAAAATCCTTGCTCTCACTCTCACCCTTGTCCTTAAGAAATGCTGTTGACTGTATCTTTTGAATATGTTCAGAATCTTACTATAGCTCCCTATTTCCACTGCTGTCACCTCCTTGGCCAAGCCACCATCATCCCTTAACTGGATTCTAACAGTTGCCTCCCAGCTGGTCTCCGCCCCTGACCTCAGCCTCAGGTCCCTGCCACAGTCTCTCTCAACCTAGCAGCAGCTATAAGCCCTTTCAACCATTTCTGCTCCAGCTCACCTTCATGTCCCGTCTCCGTCAGTGTTAAGCCAAAATCTTAATTCTGAGTTCACATGGCCCTTCGCATCCACACGTTTGCTCCTGTGACCTCTCCTTTTACCCTCCTCGCCCACACGGCCTCCTTGTTATTTCCTGTGCTCAACCGCAGCCTGTTTGTACCTGCATAGCAACATAACCAAATCAGCCTCTGAAAGTTGAAATTTTAAGAATCATATGGAAGCAGGTGTGTGGCAGGGACTATATCCTTGACAAGTAGAAGAAACTTATTTCTTTTAATTATCTAGAGTTCTTTTGTAGTTCTTAGATCACATAATACATGGTACCAACCAAGTATTTAAATAGCACTCGGAGTATATACCACACTTTATTTTAATTGTTTTGTATACATTAACTTACTAAATAACGTATCACCTCGTTAAACCTCAAAACAGGGCCAGGTGGTAATGTAGTGGCTGAGGAGGCTGGATCCCACATGGACTACTCTGTGGTTTGAGTCCCGGACCCAGTGACTAGAAAAAGTCTCTGGGCACATGTGCATGCCTGACCAAAATCACAGAGAGGAGAATGGAAGAGTAGGGATCCTTGTGTGGCCATCCTCGCTGGGAGAGTGCTGCTTTCCCTCTCTCCCTCCCTTCCTCTCTCTCTCTCTGAGGAGTGCTCATACCCTGCAAAAAACTGAAGCAAACAAAAAAACCTTAAAATGATACTAGGGGTAGATAGTATTATTTGTCCTATTTTTCAGATGAAAAGGAAATATGGAATAGTTAGGCACCTTGCTCGAGATTAAGTGGCTAATAAGTGGAAACCTAGATTTGAAACCAGATTGATTGGCATCAGTCAGTGTTCTTAATGACTGGACTTTATTGTTTATCAGGTGTCTGTTCTTTTTAAAAGTTCTTTATTTCATGTATCATCTACTGTGTTTGCTTTTAATGTCCACACCCAGAAATTTTTGTGCACATAAGAATGAAAATTGAAATTCTTATTTGTGTGTTAGATTGCCATCTCCTAATACATATAAGACAAACCTCTAGTTGTTATTTAATTCTTTCACGTTTCTTTCAGCTAGTTCTTACCCTATATCTTTTTCTCTATTTAATTTCGACATTTAGAAGAAAAATAGGGAGGCAAACCATTAATGGGACAAAGAAATGTGGTATTATCTGTTAAAGATATTTTATAGTTTTATAAACTGGACTAGGGAGAAATGTTCACCTGTTGAAGTATTCATTTTGTAAGCTGAACAATGGGATTGAATGTATAAAAGAAAATGAAATTAAAAATATGAAGAAAAAAATAAATAGTAAAAAAAAAGAACAAACTAAAAAAAATAATAATTTGGCCAATTTTCAGTTAACTAATTGAAAAAAATGTTTTAACTTTATTCATTATTTTTCTAAATCATTTCTTTCTAAAGTCCAGTTTTTAAGGTGATAGGAAAATGTCAATATTTAAAATGGTAGGAAAATGTAAATGTTTAAAAATACTATTTTTCTCCCATTACATTCTATTCTTTCATAGTAAATGAACTGTCAGCTCTTATGGAGGATGGACGCTCCCAAGTTCTTCTAGCAAAAGTTTACAGTAAAATGGACAGGCCTGGCGATGCAGTCACTTCATTGCAGCAGGTGTGTGTCTCTGAGTGTGGATGTGGGGTGGGAGATGGATGCAGATGGAAATATGCCACAGATAACAGGAAGACAATCTCTTTCGGCCCAACGATCACAAAGTAGATCAAACATAGGAATAACCATCGAACGGCTATGATTGTACAGTTTTAATGTATTAGTGCCGATTATTATTACAGTTGGGGAAGGCTATTACTTTAATCCTATTTTAAGCTGAGGAAATTTGGTTTAACAATCTGTTTAAAGTCCTAAGACTAGCGTCCCAGTCAGAATTTGGCCTTAGTACTTTTTTTAAAATTTAGATCACCTTTATTTTATTATTTTGTGGTTTTTATAACAGAGGTTTTACTGATATTTCCTTAGATTTATTCTTAAGAGATTGATGTTTTATAAGTGACGTGAATTTTATCAGATACATTGTGCAGATTCTATCAAGATGGCTAAGGGACCAGCAGTTAGTGTAATGGCTATGTCACTGGACTCCCATGTAGTCAACTGCGGTTCAAGTCCTGGACCTGGCGGCTTAAACTCATGCCGGGCACGTGTGCATTCGTGCCCAAGATCCCAAGAGGAGAATGGAGGAGAAGGGATTGCGGTGTGGCAATCCCCTCTGGGCGGGTGATTTCTCGCTTTCTGTCTCCCTGTCTCTGTCTGTCTGGCGAGCGCACGCACCCTATAGCAAAAACCTCTCCAAAAAAAGAAAAAAAAAGATGGCCAAGTGACTTTTCTCTAGGCATTTTCATTTTTCCATTGCTATTATATATGAAATTGATTGATTTTCAAATGTTAAACCACTCTTGTGTTCCTGAAAATACATGTCACTTTGTTTTGATTTCAAAAAATATGTTATTGGGGACCAGCAGTGAGTGTAATGGCTAAGTTGCTGGACTCCCACGTAGTCAACTGCGGTTCGCGTCCCAGACCCGGTGGCTTAAAACTCACGCTGGGCGCGTGTGCGTGCGTGCCCAGGATTCCGAAAGGAGAATGGAGGACAAGGGATTGCTGCGTGCCCATCCCCTCTGAGGGGTGATTTCTCACTTTCTGTCTCTATGTCTCTGTCTGTCTGGCAAGCACACGTGCCCTATAGCAAAAACCTCCCCCCCCCCAAACAAAAAATTATGTTATTGGAGTTTAAAGATACTTTATAGTGTTTTGTTCAAGCTTCCTACATCTGTGTTCATGAGAGAGATTGGTCTATACTCTGATGCTATTTCTTTAATGTTTGAAACAATTCAATATTGAAACCCTTGGGAGTCAAGGCTGCTTTCATAGAGATTTTTATATGGATTCAACAACTTTAATAGATTTCATAGTGATCATTTTAAAATTTCTTATATCAGTTTAGTTGGCTATAATTTTAAGTAATTTAATTTTAAATTTATGACTGTGTGCATATATATATTAGATTCTCTTACTTTTTGCAATCTCTTTGGGCCAGCCAGTGGCAGGGGGTTATGGCAAGTGGATCCCACATGGCAAACTATACTATTCCAGTACTGGACCCAGTGGCTTAAAAAAAAAAAATGCCAGGTACGTGTGCATACATGCCCAGAATCCCAAGAGGAGACTGGATGAGAAGGAACTGTGGCATGGCCATTCCCCCCAGGGAGTAATTTTTTACTTTCCTTCTCTCCTTCTCTCTCTCTGGCAGGTGCATGTGCCCTATAGGAAACAGAAACAAAAACAAAACTAAAAGAAAGTCTTGATTTTTTTTTTTTTTTTTTTTAGGTTTTTGCCATAGTGCACATGCGTTCACTGGAGAGAGTCAGAGACAGAGAGTGGGGAAAAATAAGATATCAGCCTCCCAGTGGGGTTGGCCATGCTGCAATCATTTCTGCATTCTCCTCTCAAGATTTTGGGCAGGCTCACATATGCGTCCAGTGTGATTTTCAAGCCACCAGGTTTTGGGCTTGAACTGCTGTCGGCCACGTGGGAGTGCAGCATCTGAACCACCACACCATCTGCTGGCCTCACTCCTGCTATTGACAATATTATTTTCCTTTTTTTAATAGTCAATTTAGGTAGGGATGTATTATTATCTTTGTAGTTGCTGCAAAGAATCAACTTTGGCTATCTCTATCTTCATTATATTGGTTATTTTTACCTCATAATTAATTCCTTCTCCTTTCTTTGGATTTCTTTTCCCGGTCTCTTGAAATAGTATGTTAGGCAATGGACTTTTATCCTTTTTATTTTTTTAAACTTATGTAGGGTGATAAATTTCTCCCTAATCACTGCTCCAGCTACATCTCACATGGTTATCATGATTCAGTTTATACTATTTCATCAGTTTGTTTTCATTTTTTAATTAATTAATTAATTTTTTATATATTTAATTCTCAATTTCACTTATGATAACCAGAACAAGTTTAAGATATCTAAGAATAAACCTCTTTTTCACTGTGATTACTTTAATGCGTGGATTATTTACATGTTAAATTTCCAAGTGGTTTTGATTTTCTTATTTTTTGTATATTGATTTCTAGTTTAATTCCACTTTGGTCAAAGACATACTTTGAGCAGTTCAGCCCTTTGAGATTTGTTGAAGCTTGTTTCATATGCCCTACATTATAATCAATTTTTGGTAAAGGTTTTGTGTGGATGTGAAATAATGTGTTTCTGGCATTACATGTGCTTAGTTCAACATATATCAAGTAAGTTTATTAAGCAATGCTTTTTAGATCTCTGTTCTTAAAGTTTAATTTTCACTGTTTATTTGTTTGCTTATTTATGGTCTGTTTATATCATTTGCTAATATGAGAATATATTAAAATTCTTTAATGTGATTGTCTATTTGTTTTTGTCCTTTATTCCTTTTTGATTAGAAGACATATTATTGGATGATTCCGATTTAGAATTCTTATATCTTGCTGGTGAATTAACTCCTTTTTAATTATAAAATAACCTTCTTTATTTCTAGTACTATTTCTTGATTTTAGAGTCTCCTTTATTATTGATAGAACTCCAGCTTTCTTTTGGTTAGTGTTTCCATGGTGTATCTTTTTTTCTTTTACTTGCAACTTTTTATGTCTTTATATTGAAGATCTGTCAACAAATGATTATTTTTTCTTTTATCTACTCTGATAATCTTTTTATTAGAATATATTGTTTGTATTTAATCATGGGTTAAATTCGGATTTATGTCTGTCTTGTAATTTGTTTGCTTTCTGACCTTTTTAATTTTATGTTCCTTCTGTCTTTCTTGACTGATTATTTAAATTATCTTTAGTTAATTTTCCTTCTACTTATATACATCTCCTTTTAGTACTTTTTCCAGTGTTAACTAGTTTATAATACACACACACTTTACTTATCCGATTTTCTTTATTCTTATCCAGATTGCATTATTCCACTTTCGCCTTTCCATTTTTTGTTGCCATACATTTTAAACTAGTTCGAAACTCTGTTTATAGTGAACACAATGTTATGTATTTCCCTCTAGTGTTAGATTTACAAGGTTTTAAAAGAATTTGTAGTATAAATAGCAGGTAGTAATGAAATACCTAGAAATTCTGTGTAAAAAAAAAAAAAAGGATCTTTTTGTATGTATATGTTTTTGTGGCACCTATATGTTTATTTCCCAGTTGTCAACCAACATTTTGACAGGAGTTTGCAGAAGGATGCCCTGTGTCAGGCATAATGTATGACACATGGCGAATACTTACTGTTTGTCAGATGAGGACGTGGATGCAATAATTTCATTTATGAGTTAAATTTTATTTATGAATGCTTACGCATAAAGTTCTCTAAATAATTCATTAACTTATGTTATGCCTTAGGGTGTATGAGAGTACATGAGAGAGAGAGAAAGTAACCCATAACAGGGCCTGGTCCCACCACAGTCTTTTTCCTCCTGTCCTCCTGGCTTCACATGGACCCACAGTTTTCAAGTTGACAGGGCTGAGTCTCAACTCCTAGTTGGCTGTGTGGGAATATTACTTCCTCTGCATAGTACCTAACTGCTGTGCTATGACTGCCCCCACTCTGTCACTTATTAAAGGAAGATCTCAATGTTCTAGGTTCCAGATATATCAGTAGAGAGGGTGCTCTTCTACTAATTTAGCAGCACACTTTATATCTTTTCCCAGAGACTGGCTTCCACCTCCTCTTAGGATGTCTGTGCACATCATGAGACCATGTACATAGTACACCATCAACTGATCAGCCATTTCCCTATGGTTTGATTTTTAGTTGCTTCCATGTGTTTTGTCAAGTTGCTAAAAATAGGAGAGACTGTTTTTCATACAATGGATAACAAGTTTCCATTTTTTCTAAATAATATCCTTAATACATTTCCAAGAGTGGAACAACTAAGTTCAGTATCCTGGTTAGTTTTATCAAGTTGGTGTAATATGCTAGGGTGGTGCTCAGAAAGATTGCACTAATTCATATTCCATTGACAATATATAAGTTTATTATTGCCCAAGATCTGTTAATATTTGACATAATAAGTTTTACATATTTACTCTTTTATTAATTTAATACATGTTTTAGATTTAAAATTATTCAATTATAGCATCCAGAAAGCTTTTTCAAGTGTTCTTCTTAGTGAACTTTCTGTACATATTCTTATAATAGTGAGAAAAAAAACTCAGTGATTTTGTAGTGCTTTGGAAAGGTATGTGCATGCTGGCTCATTTGCAAACAAGTACATAGTTAAGAACAGGACATGAGACTTTCTTTGGATTAGATGTTGCTGGATCAAGAATCAATAATGCTTTAATCTGTAAAATTATGCTATGTATGAGTTATTCTTTTTTACTATTCTTTATTCTCTCTTTTTTTTTAATTCCTTTTGTCTTTTTTTTTTTTTTTCTAGGCTCGAGAGTTACAATCTCGGGTACTAAAACGTGTTCAGATGGAACAGCCAGATGCAGTTCCTGCACAGAAACATTTAGCAGCTGAAATTTGTGCAGAGATTGCAAAACATTCTGTTGCTCAGCGAGACTATGAAAAAGCAATTAAGTTTTATAGAGAGGCTCTGGTTCATTGTGAAACAGATAATAAGGTCAGTACTTTCATAAAATTTTAAGCACCTTTTATTCCCAATGTCACCTAATTTCTCCAAATGTAAAACTCTTAGCAGCTTATTTACAAAGGAGATTTGAAAGGAATATAACAAATACACATTTTTAAAAATTAATGCTGCTTCTAAAAATTTTCCAAAATACATGATACTTTAAATTAAGAATATTAGGGTATAAAAATTATACTAGAACAAGTAATGTAAAGCACACCCTCAAGCTCCATGTTTTTTATATGTCTGTGTTTTAATATCCCTTTTTTTTCTATTTGCCAGAGGGCATATAGACTCATCAGAGATAGACAGGTAGACAGACAAGGAGGAAAAAGTACACTCCAGTAGGAAAATACTTTCTCCTCCACTTTTCCATCTTGTTGGGATTTGGGGCTTCACACACACCTAGTGTGTTTCTAAAAATCACCAAAGCCAGTATTCGAACCACAGTCAGTAATGTGGGATCAGGCTCCTTAACCACTAAACAACAGGGCTGGCCCTAATCATTACTTAAAAACAATCTTTGAATCACAAATATCTGGATGTAGATGACTTAATTCAGTTTACTGATAAGCTCTTATCAGCCTCTGTATTTCAATTGCTGTTTAATGCTGAGGATACGAGAGTGACTAGATTGAATCTGTGCTCCTAAGCGGCACAGTGTGAAGATGTCAAGATATTTTGGTGTGATTTGTTAGGGTGTTCCTACCGTCCTCTTACCTACATGGTCATTACATAAACGGAAAACCTGTCAAGAGCTGAAATCTACATAGATGATTCATTTTTTACACTCTGATAGATTACTGATACTTAAATAAATGATGCAGAAAACAACAATACTCTTCTATAATTTGAAGAGTAAGATTAGACCTTTTATTAATAAAATTCTTTCAGCTATTGGGCAAAAACAACTTCAGTATAGCATGCCAAATAGATACCTTGTTCAGTGGTGACAAATTATTTTTTTAAGAATTATTTATATATTTTTATTTATTCATTCATTTCTTTTAATTTGACGAGAGCAAGAGAGAGAAAGAGAGAAAGTGAGAAAGCAAGCCACCAGGTCCAGGACTTGAACCATGGTCATCCATGTGGCAGTGTCCAGCATCTTAACCACTATACCACCTACTGGTCCCTCACTAGTGACTTAAAGCAGATGGAATCCCAACTTTTGATTTCTTGTTTTTTTAAAAGTTTATATTATATTATAGTTGACAAATCGTAATTGTACATGTTTATGAGGTACAATGTGATATCTCAATACATGTCTGTGTATACATGTGCAGAATCTTATTTTGGTTTTGTTTTAGGTTTTTGCCATAGGGCACATGCATCGACCAGATAGAGAGACATACACACGGGGAAACTGAGAAATCACCACGCAAGGGAGATGGCCATGCCTCATTCCCTTCTCTGTTTTCCTCTCAGGATTTTGGGCACACATACACATGTGCCTGACATGATTTTCAAGCCACCAGGTCCAGAACTCAAACCAGGTTGACCATGTGGGTATCCAGCTCTTTACCCCACCTCCTGTTGGCCCCAATCCTAGTTTTAAATCTGAATTATACCTTAGAGATATGTACTCAAAGCTTTTAATTTTACAAATGAGAGAATAGGTTTAGAGAAGAAAAGGGAACTTGATTCGGCCCCTGTCTAGAGACACTGGGACTAGAATCGTTTCCTGATTTTAGGATCCCCATTCTTTTCCCACAGCCGCCTCTCTCTCTACTTCTCAAGTGAGTTACCACCTGTTTCTCTATTTATTTTCAGTATAAGAAAAAGTAGAGATGAGCATGCCTATAGTTTTCCTCATCTACAATGTGTGGTTTTGTTTGTTTTAGAATTTTGTCATAGGGTGCATGCATTCACCAAAGACAGAGACAGTGACCGGGAAAGTGAGAAATTAACCCTCAAGATGGCCAGGACACATTCTCTTCTGAGTTCTCCTCCCAGGATCTTGGGCACACATGCATGCATGCTTGGCACAAGTTTGATGCCAAGTCCAGGACTCAAACTGCAGTTGACCACGTGGGAGTCCAGTGACATAACCACTACATCATCTGCTGGCTCCGATGTGTGTGATTTTTATTACAGTCACATTTGGTCATAAATAATCTGTGGCCAGGCATTTTCCTTATGCATTTTTTATTCTGAAACAGTTTCTAACTAACCTTGTCTTTTATTGCACAGACAATGTTGGAACTGGCACGATTGTATCTAGCACAAGATGACCCTGATGCCTGCCTGCGGCACTGTGCACTGCTTCTGCAGAGTGACCAGGATAATGAACCTGCTACCATGGTTAGTTCAACAGCTGTCAGCATTTTAGTTATAAGAACAACCACAGAACTAGATCAGGCCCCTGCTTGCCCTTTTAAGTCTAGTTAAATTTTCTCTGTGCCTGTGGGTATGCTTAATCAGGCAGAGTTCATGGGGAAGAGTTGTAATTTGCTAAAGACTAACTTTTAAGTACTTAGACGTGCTGAACCAATGAAAGAGTTTCAGTAGAACTTTGGGAGTTACAGTGGAAAAAAATCAATCTAAGATCTGCTTTAAATCTAATATTGCTTTCATTTTTATTTTCACCTGGATTGAAGTATTTAACTTTCAAGCAACTGTATGGATGACATGTTGTGAGATTCATTTAAAGTTCTTAAATAACTAGAAGGAAATATAAGAAATCTGCCTTTCAAAATACATAATAGGAAAATCCCATTTTTTATTTCTTTAAAAATGAGTTTCTCTTTTTTTTATTCCTTTACACATGATTTAAGGTTTTGTTTTTGTTTTTTGTTTTTTTGGTTTTTTTTTTTCCCCTTTGGAGAGGTTTTTGCTATAGGGTGCTTGCGCTCGCCAGAAAGACAGGGAGAGACAGAGAGACAGGAAGCAAGAAATCACCCTCCAAGAGGGATGGCCACACTGCAGTCCCTTCTCCATTCTCCTCTTCGGATCTTGGGCACGCATGCACAGGCGCCTGGCGTGAGTCCAAGCCACCAGGTTTAGGACTTGAACAGCGGTAGATGACATGGGAGTCCAGCGACATAGCCATTATGCCAACTACAGATCGTAACATGATTTAAGTTTTGTTCTCATCATTTTAGCTAAGTCCAGTGAGGCATCTTTTCTATAGCAGTGCATAAATTGTACAGTTCCCCCTCATATTTTTCTTTTTTAAAATACTCATTCATGACATTTTTTGCTAAAGGTGGTTTTGGCGACAGAGTGGCTTGTTTCACATCTTTTGTTATCTTCTGTTACACTGAGCTCCAAGCTATTCTGCTCAAAGTGCATTTGTATTTTAAATGGCTCTATTTTGTAACCTTTGCTTCTTCATGTTTTCATATGTATTTAGTATTAAATCTTGACTGAGGCCAGCAGATGGTGTAGAGGATGTGTCGCTGGACTCCCGCATGGCTAACCATGATTTGAGTCCTGGACCAGCAGCTTGAAAACCACACTGGGCACATGTACATGCACACCTAAGATCCCAGGAGGAGAATGAAGGAAAAGGGATTGTAGCATGAATATCCCTCTTGGAGGGTGATTGCTCACTTTCCCTCTTATTGTCTCTATCTCTCTCTGGCAAGTGCACATGCCCTATGGAAAATATACTTTGTAAAACATATAGCAGTATTTTTAGAATTGGCTTTATCTTTGTAGATGATGGCTGACCTCATGTTCAGAAAACAGGACTATGAACAAGCAGTGTTTCATTTACAACAGCTGTTAGAACGCAAACCAGGTAAATGCTCACTCTTCGTATTTTTTTTTTTTTAGAGGTTTTTGCTATAGGACACATGTGCTCGCCAGACAGACAGAGAGAGACAGAGAGATAGAAAGTGAGAAATCACCCCCCAGAGGGGATGGCCATGCCGCAATCCCTTCTCCATTCTCC